TGACAAAGCTGGCCAACACGAGCGGATGGTGGGCGCGGGAGCAGACCTCTGGAGCCAGAGCCAACGTTCACAGGCTGAGGTGCCCCGTACCGACTGCTGCCTGTCCCTCCAGACCGCAGCAGCGAGCGCAGCGGGACGACAAGCAGCCGGGCTGGGCGCTGCTCTAGAGCACTGTCCTGGACAAGAGACGTCGTGGTTACCAGTGGCTGCGCTCCCGAGGAGCACGTGGAGCCACAGCACCGCTGGCGCCACGGCTGCGGTGGCGGGAGGCATGGGTGGCCTGGAGAGACAGGAGCTGCCCAAAGGCCAAGCTGCCTCAGCCACACTGCTAGCTGTAGAAGCATGAAGAGGGCTCGGGCTGCTGCCCAGCAAGACTTCTGAAATGGCAAGTCTCCTAGGCTACAGGCGTAAGGTGGACGCTGGGCCATGAAGTAGTTACTGCTCCAGACAACTACGTAAACTACCAGTAAATAACGCCTCTGAAATGGAGATATGACGGTCTGGGGAAGCTGCTTTGAGTCACAGAGCAGGAAAGACGGTGACTTCTTCCCTATCCTTCCCTTCTGCCATTTTTATGATATTGGAGGATTTAATCAAAATAGGGGTGTAAGCAGTTTTTTTGAGAGTAAGCAGTAAGGGCTTTAAAAAAAAAAAAACAAAAAAAAAACAAAACCAAAACAAACCACCAACAGAAAACACTAGAGCAGTTCTTCATTTCCTGAAATGCTTTCTATAGTAGGACAGACAAACAAACTTGACTCAAAACTGAATGTATTTGAAACCTCCTGTAGGCCACGCACCATCAATCCTTCACAGTATTAGCTGTACTATGCACATAGGTATCGAGAGTGCTACAAAAACTCTCCCACAAACACTGGTTTTTCCATATCAACATTTAAATTAGGCAAAGAATACTTGAATTCTAAAACTTCATGGAAAACAAGGAACAAGTGAGAGCACTAACATGGGTTAGTGTTCAGATACAACTTTATCAGATCTAAGCCTTTTTTTGAAATTTCAAAACTTACTATTTCAATACTTACTAAGCAGCATCCAAGTCCCACGTACAAATGTGTGAGTACCTTTAGGAACACCTCAAGATCACTACGCTGAAGCATTACAGCTCTGCTTCTGAAACTTCTCGGCACATGTTGACTTCTTTTGACTCCCCCACTTGACGTTACTTATCACTAATAAGCTGATGTAGATGAGAAGACAGCCAGGAGGGGGAAGTAAACCAGGTAGCACCACACCTGGTCAAGTGCAGAACTGCTCAAACTTCTGGATACTTTAGTCAGCAACAGTGAATAAACTACACAGACCTAGATCTAACAAAGTTAGCAGTACCAAGATAATTTAAGTCATTTTCCATTTATCAATGCAGTACAGTATTACTTACCAAATAAATTACTTTTGTACTGCTGAAAACCAGCAGGACAGAACACCATCTACAGCACTTCCTATTAATTATAACTCATTCCTAAGAAAATGACAGCGCCCACGAGAGACTTTCTTTCACCAAACGCCAATACCGTGAGCTCGCTGTGGCGGTGTGTCCCCCGCTGCCCCCAACCTCTTCCCATAACCCTGCTCAAGCGATAACCACCAGTGGTGGTTGTGACGGGTGCACCCAAGTCGAAGAGGATTTGGGGGAGACAGATAACACAATAGCCAAGGCCTGATCTATGGCAACGTGTCCACCTAACCACAGTGCTGGCCAATGTCCGATTCAAGCCAAATTTCGAAGAAACTTAACATCTGCAGTCAGTACGTAAACGTGACTACGAGCCAACCATCCTACCCCCACCAATAGCCAGGAGTCCAGGAGCCCGTGGAGCTCTGCGCGGCAGCACGCCAGGACCTCCCCATGAGCAGGGACCCTCTCAGGGTCACTCCTCAGGGCCGAGAGGTTCCTTACTGCACCAGATCCTTGGTAAGCAGCTCACAGCAAGCTAAGCTCTGAAACCTTGGCTATGGGATAGAAGGAGCGATTGCACATATCTAATCCTTCAGACATAAACTGCTGACCAAGACTGGGACTAGGACTGGATCCAGCCGCACCTCGGCTCCTCTCCCAAGAGTCTGGAACGCAAGGGGGCGCTTTCTGAGCTCGTGGCTCAACGGGAAGGTCTGCCTGACCCTGTCCTCTGTGCAGTAAATAACCAGGTGTACCTTGCCGTCAAATTTTGTTAAACCACTGTTGCATTTACCACTGAACCTTGTTAACTCACTGGTTTATATCAATAAAGTATATGTTTTGCTTCT